AAAAAAATATGGGATAAAATGATTGAACCAAAAACAATTGAAAAAATAAATAAAATTTTTCTTTTTTAAAATGTCTTAAAGATAATCTTTTTCATTTTTCTTCATCTTTTGATTGCTTAAATATTTTGTAACTGATAAGTTAAGCATTACTATCCTTTTTTTTTGGAGGGAAGGAGTTTTGGAAGGGTTAGGAAGCTTTACTTTATTTTTCTGAGTGAATAATGTCAGAAAAAATTGAATACTCTATTTTTTATCAATTTTTCTGCATTATCCATAAATATTCTCAATTCTTTTATTGTTTTTTCTCTACTTTTTTTTTGCTTTTCTATTTGAAAAATTGCAAACATTTTCGGACGGATTTTTTGAAACACTAAAGTTTTAAAATTTTTACTTAGCAAAGAAAAAATTTTTTGGATAAGAAAGAAAACCCTTGTACTAAAGCTGCTTTTTTTTTGTGCTTTTTTTTTTCTTATGTCAGTAATATATGGCAATCGAATTAAAACTGGGCAAAATTTAAAAAACCAAAAGATAATAAATAGTGGTGCTGCTGATTCTGGTATAACAAATAGCAGTAAAAAAAATGGGTTTTTTTTATCAATTTTATTGAAGCATTAAAAGAAGGCTAAAACTAATTATATAACTAACAATTTGCTTATTTTCTATTTATTGCCGTTGAAATGATTTTGAGGTGGATGATGATGATGGTGATGATGACGATCATTATTATTATCATTATCATTATAACCATTATTATCGCTGTCATTATTATGACTATAGTCATTGGTTGCAGTAATAATTGCTGTTTAAATTTTAAAGCAGATGAAGGCCATAATGTGCGGAAATAGGGGAGAAAAACCAAGGAAAAGTGATGATGATAATGATGATGATGGTGGTGGTGATGGTGGTGGTGGTGGTGGTAGTAGTGCTGATTTGTAGTGTAATAGCTGATCTTTTTGACAGTGAAAATTTTGAGGTAAAGAAAACGGCAGGAGAAAGGAAAGACCAGATTTCCGGATCAGTTTTTTTTTTGGATTTTTCAGGGTTAAATTGACTAACTGAAACTGACAGCACAGAGTGTTCTGGCGTCTAAGTATTTGATCTGAAAACTGTGGAGTAATAAGTGCGGTTTTTACTTTGTCTCAATTTTTTGCTAAAGGTGTTGAAGTTCTTTTATTTGTTTGATTGATTTGAGCAAA